GTTCTTAGAAAAAGTTAATAAATAAAAACTTATTTAGTATTTTCTATAAGTTTTTTAAAATAACTATAGCTAATGGTGTAATATAGTTCTTTTTAGTTTAATTGGTTAAAGTCGGCCTGTTCGGTATTTTTTGATATTTCCAAAGTTTGAAATTTTTTAACCCCAATTTTTCAGTTTTAAAATGGATTTACACTTGCAAGACGAAGTCTTAAAAGTGTAAATTCATTTTAAAACTGAAAAATTAATGCATAATTAACAAATAAATAATAAGTAAATAAATAAAAAATTAATAAATTTACAAATAAACAAATAAACAAATCATTTATAAATAAATATTAATAAAATAATTTTAATAAGACCTCTAGACTGTTGCTTCCTTCGTTTCTTTTTAACATAAATCTTAATAAGTATATGTCAATTAATTTCCATGTTCTGCTTCTTATTGGAATTGTTCTTTTTATTCCACTCCAGTTACCTTCTATAGTATTGGTATGCGTGTTAGTTTGCCTGTTAACAAAATGTTTTGAGTGGTTTACAGTTTGATGTTTAAAAAATTCCTTGGAAAGATTTGAATAGCCTTTCCAGCAATCACTATAAATAGTCGTTTCTTTTTTAATGTATTTTTTACAAAACGTCGTTAAAGTAAGGCTGTCTCTTTTTTCTACGTGTCTTAGCACGATTCTTTTGTTAATTCTTTCGACGGCGCCCACAACCCAAACGCCTTCTACTCTGTGGCCTCTGTTGTATTTTCTCCTGCCGAATTTACTTTCGTCAATTTCAACTATCGCATTATTTCCACCAATTCTATCAAACTTATTTAAATATAAGTCTAATCCACCTAGTGATCGTAGCTTATCGCAGATTTCAAAGACCGAAGATCTATGAATTCCTGCAATTCTGGCGATAAGATCGCAAGGAACATTCTCGATCCACATATATATTACTTTTATTAAAGTAATAATAGGAAGTGACGTGTTTTCAAAAATTGTTTCTTTATAGCTAGTGAACTTACACTTACATGCAGGAAAATAACAGACAATCCTAATCTTTTTCTTCAGTTTACGTGTATCTGAACCTCATTTATAACATTTTCGATTGTTATAATGGTTATTGATCTCATTTGCTAATTTTTGGTACTCCTCTTCTTCTTTGAGTTTTCATTTTAGGAGTTAAAAAATTTCAAATTTTGGAAATATCAAAAAATACCAGTCTGCCCGATTAAGTCCTAATAAAAATTTTATAGTTACAAAATTCTATTTTTTAGCTAATATAAAAAAAGATTTATTCAATTATGTTTAGTGAGTTTTGTTGAATTCTTATCTAACTGACAGATCCACATTTGAAATATTGTTCAATAAGTATGATAGAATAAATATGATTTATTTTAGTTTTATCTAAATTTATCACGTCCCTCTTTTAGGCCAAATTATTTATGTTTTGTTTACATTAATGTCACATTAAAATTAAAATGGTTGAAAGTTAATTTGTATAAATTTTTTTTGTTAATATGGGATTGTATACTTACTTATAAAAATTGTCTTTTTTTTTAGTGCAATATTTTCAAAAAAATATAAAAAATAATTTTTTTATTACAAAATTACATAACTAGAGCTAATTTAAAATTATAATCTACTATTAAAAAGTTTATAGAACTGTTTGGTCTCTTTTTTCATCACTTGTTTTTCAAAATACTTCTTACAAGAATAAAATTAAAGAGCAGAAAAAAAGTAAAATATTAGAAAGACAAAAAATTACAAACAATAATTTTAAGTGAACGTTTATAGACTTAAGATTAAATATAAGCTTTGAACGCAAAAGCCAATAAAACGTCAAATATTGCGGTTTTACGATATATATAGTTTGACTTGTTTTATTGTAGCTCTTTTTCTTCTATTGTAATCGTGTGTATAATAGTTGCCTTGTCCACAATATAGAGTATAATTTATATAATTTGTTTTTTTTTATAAATTTTTATTTAAAACAATCTATAAAAATTGTTTTAAATAGTGATATGCCTTTGTCATAACTATGTAAGGTTTCATCTTTTACTTATATATTGGCTGTTCTAGTGGTTGTACTACACTCGATGTTTATATTTCTTTTACCATTTGTCTCAAGGATGCTTGCTTTTGTCAAATTTAAATTTTAACCATATCATACCAAGCCTTTTATTTACATTGTCTGAGAATCGTTTCTTTTGTTTTTTTGATTTACAAGCGGCTTATCCTTTTTTCCTTGAACCAATCAAAAAATTTTCATCTTACACTAGCAAATATTGTTTATTTGACAATAAATATTTTAATATATTGACAATGTATGGCAATAAAGATAACGAATAATAAGAAAAAATACATTGAAAATAATAACACAATAATATATTAACAAATTAATAAAACAAGTTGCATTCAGAAATAAAAAATATTAAATTAATTTAATTAAATATTCATCTCCAAATATTTCTTTAATATCATACGCTTTTTCTTGTTCTACCACTTTTCTTATGTACCTGTCACCATCGTATAAATTAAATACTTTTATTAGTTCTTTAAGCTTTACACATTTTTTGTCATCCTTTTTTAAATACAAATCTAGTTTCCTTAAAAATACAGAATTATCTTCATCCTTAGCCTTTTTTATAAATGACTCCTTTCTTAATCTTTCTTTCTCTCTTATTCGGTCTAAGATACTAAAATATTTTTTTTTAGTTTGTATTTCTACTTCTAATTTATTATTTACATTTTCTTTTTGTTCAGTAATCTTTTCTGGTCCCAAATTTTCTTTTATTTTGTATCCTTCTTTTTGCTTAGTAATCCTTTCTAATGCTAATATTTTTACGTCATCTTCTTTTAATATTTCTAATCTTTCTACATCTTCCACATCTTCATTCACTCTACACTCTTCTTTTTTATTTTTTAATTTATAATAATCCCAAACTATTTTATTGAATTCTTCTGGTGTACACAATAATTTATAAGTAAAAGTTTTCTCTCCTTCAAGTTCAATTATTTTTACTGTTATTTTTTCTGGTATCAAAAACCTTATTTTTTCAATATCACTAATATTTACTCTTATTTTTAAAACATCTTCTATACACTTTTTACATTTTATAAAAATATTAGATAAGCCTCTATTAGTGTTATATTTCTGTATTGTCATCATTACTCTAAATATTTTAGTAAGTTTTAAATATTTTTTAGGAAGTAAACAGTGGTAATTAGTTTCTGTAGAGTAAAGAGATGTAGATGAAACAGGAGTAAAAGATAAAACCCTTTCTCTAAGTGATAATTCATCACTATGTATATTATTGATTATTAATTTATCACTTTGTATTGTATTATTACTCATTTTAATCTCTTTTACTGTTATTTCTGTACTCATATCACTTTCTTTAATTAAACTTGCTTTTCTTTTATTTTTAAGAAATTTATAAATATTTTCTTTCATTTTTATGGTGCATAAATGAAAAAAAAGTTAAAGGAGAATATTTTGGAAAAAAGATCAGAATAAAGAAAAAAAGCATATTATTTATTTAAAAAAGTTTAGTAAATAACTAAATTGTAAATAATATTTTTAGTTTGTAGAATAATTAAAGGCCGAATTGAAGCATACATCCAATCTTGTACTATTTTATAATTTACTGTAAAGAAGAGAGAAATTAGTGAGTTTTATAAAAATGCTGTTAATTGCCTTCGGTAAAAAACTTCTCTAAAAAAATGCAAGTAACCTTTAAATTGCTAATATAAATAAAAAATAAGAATTAATTTATAGAATAAAAGAATAACAATAGGAATATATAACTAAAAATAAAAGAATAACAATAAGAATATATAAATAGAATAAAAGAATAATAATAAGAATATATAACTAGAATAAAAGAATAATAATAAGAATATATAACTAAAAATAAAAGAATAACAATAAAAATATATAAATAGAATAAAAAGATATCCAATCCGATAAATCTCAAAAGCTTAAACATGTCCCTTACACTTTAGAATATTTCTCAATAATCTTCCTTCTTTCTTCCATGGGCTTAATTAATATTTCACGTATTTCATACCATTCAAACATAGTTAGATTATTAAGTGTTAGTGCTCTACCCTCCATTTTACTAAGACCTGTCAGTGTCTTCTTAAATCTTATTTCTTTTAATTTGTCAATTAATCCAATGCACTCCTCTTTCCGTTCACTATTATAACTTTCTCTTATCACAAGTTTACCGGTACAAAATATATTCTTAGGTATTGAAATATACTCATGCTGATTATTTATCTCTTCATCTATCAAGTTATTTAAATACTGGTAAGTGTAACAAGCTGGTATTCTTAAGTAAGCCAAATTCCCTTTTTTAAGTTCTAATGCTATGTACAATGGTATCTTAATAATTGAGAGAGGCTTTATATTTGTGTATGTATTATGTATCAGTGATAATGTATTGATATTTGAACAGGGTTCGATTTCTATTAATTCTTCTAATGTGATAAATTTTAATTCCTGGGGTGTCAGCATTAAAAGAAGGGTAAAAAAGTGTATTTAGATTCAAACTTTTTATATATATTGAATGATGGCAAGTGTAAATACTAAATACATAATAAAAAAGCAAGCTTGCAGCCAAGTTTGTGTCTTAAAGAGTTAGAAATAAATTAAAGTTTAACATCTTTATTTTAATTATTCGCTTTTAAGAATTATCTCAATTAGCACTTTTTCAATATATGATAGCATTAATGATCCTCTTTTAAGTTTTTTTTCAGTTAATTTGCTTTTTAAATCATCTTCTAAAAGACTGTTAAAACTTGTATTTAAAGTACCAATTGTTTTTTGTAATAATTCAACTTTAGGTTCATCCAGCATTTCAAGTACATTAAACTGTTCCATAATCTCTTCAACATTATGTACGTACATTACTTTAGCGCAACAATTGAAAAAAATATGATCTGAATTTTCATACAATACCTTAAGAATAGGTAAAAATAAACCTTGGCTTTTTCAGGGGAACCAAATAATGATATTTTAAAAAATGGTTCGGAATAGACATTTAAAAAATAATTTACCAAAACTTTTTTAGGTATTTTAGAAATACAATAATAAGATTTAGCCATAAAAACGAATTCTTCTTTAGTAAATTTGGGTGTTTGAGTCGCTTTTGAGTATTCATTAAATGCAATATCAGTATCAAATTTTCCTAATACAGTATCTTTAAGAGATATCTTATGAAATGCATTAAAATACGACCCCAAAATGCTAGTGTATCTGAGAAGTATAAATATAAAAACTGTTAGTAATACTGAACACATTGATAAAATATAAAATCCCTTTTTTGATGACATATATGGGTAAAAAAGTATACTTTTAACTTATTGAAAAAAGGAGAAAAAATTAAAATTATTTATATTTTATTTGTCATGTCATTGCAGATACTATACGTATTTTAAAAAAATTAAAGGTTTATTTTCCTGCTTGTTCTTCCACCCCAGTTACCCTCTTTTCTTTTATTTTTTCGAAAAAATCGCCCGCCTTTTAAAATTTTATATTAATGACTAGCTTACACCATTTCGTTCAAAACTTACTACAAATACATTTATAGTTTTTTTGCTTTTAAAATGTATGTTACATCTTAAAAGCAAATTTTAAAATAAATTAACATTAATAATTTAAAATTTGTTTTTTTAAATTTTATGAAGTCTCCAATAATACACAATTTAAAATTAAAATAACCGAATAAAATAAAAAAAATGCACAAAGATATTGTGCCGTGATTAATATGATAAAAGATACTGTAGGACAGTAAAGATGTAGACATGCCAATCAGTAGTATTGGGTTGGTGGCTTTTACATATCTGTTATATAAATAATAATTATTAAATAACCCTATGTTTTATCCAAACAGATATAATAAATTTTTTTTTTACTAAAAATAAAAAAATTTTACAAATTTTTTAAAAAAAAGGTTAAAAGATTAATAAATATTAAAATTCAAACCTTCTATTTATATTGACAAGCTTATGCTATACCGTTTAAAACGAGGTTACAAACACGGTGTGTGTTCTTTCTTTGTTCATGTATGATACGCCTTTGGGCTTGTTTGCACGGTTTAAATTGCAAAATCATAAATATTAAAATTATATTTGGAAATTAAAATAATTGAAAAAATTAAAACTAATAAAAAAAAATTTGTAACGTCTGTTGGAATAGAAATATAACCAATTGAAAAGAAGACCGGTTTAGTGAAACAACACAACTTTAGTATGAACGGTTGTGATTAGTACTTTAGGTATTCTGGCCTTGATACATCAAAACTTCACAGTTTATTAATCTCTAATAAATATTAAAATTTTTTTTTACCAATAAAGATGTTTTTAACTACCTCCGACAACGTCCATATAGTATAAATTCTATAATAATTTTCGGTTATATTTTACTGTCTTCAAATAAAAGATCTAAACAGAAATTACAATTAAACTAAAAAAGGGATAAAAATAAAAAAATGTTCCGATTTAAACTTTTTATACATATAGACTAGCTTGCGCTATCCGGTTTAAAACGGGATCATAAATATAAAGTATGTTCTTTATTTTTATTTGTATGTTGGGCATTTATGTATGTACTTATTTTATTATTTTTAATTGCAGGTTGTCCCTTTTTATCATAAATTAAAATTTGCTGTAGACACCTTGTATAGACTAATTTAACTAAATAAAAGAAAGGAAAAATGCACATAAACAACGTTACATGCTTAGAGAAATAAACCTAACACTTATGCTACTCATTCTTAATAAAAAATACAAATAATTTTACAAATTTTTAAAAAAGAAGGGTTAAAAAATAAAAAAATGTTTAGATTCAAACTTTTTATACATATAGAAGACTAGCTAAAGCAACCCGTTCCGAAAACAGAAATCTGGATTTGATGTTGGCTTGCTTATGATTTTTTTGTTTCAAATGCATAGTATGTCGTTGTAATAAATTTGAAATTTTACTATATTTTTCTATGAATTAAATTCTACAATGTCTATATTCTCAACAGTTTGATTAAAAATACAACTTACAAGAATACAGCGTAATAATGTTTTGTGCGAACATTATAGCTTTACCATAGTGTTAGCTAATAAAAAAGTATTCATAAAATTTCAAAAAGAAAGGCTAAAAATCAAAAGAAAATTTTTTCTTATCTTTTTATAATATAGTAGATAGATAGATGATGACAAATTTTAATACTAAATACACAATAAAAAAGCAAACTCGAAGCCAAATTAATGTACTAAAGGGTTAGAAATAAATTAATGTTTAACATCTTTATTTAAACTCTTTGCTTTTAGGAATTATCTCAATTAGTGTCTCTTCAATGTAAGATAACATTAATGATTCCTTTTTTAGTTTCCTTTCAGTTAATTTGCTTTTTAAATCATCTTCTAAAAGACTGTTAAAACTTGTATCTAAAGTACCAATATATTTTTGCAATAATTTAATCATAAGTAAATCGTTGCTATTTCTAGGCGTGTTAAACTTGTTCATTATATTTGTGACAAAATTGGCATAGATTTTAGCAATAAAATTGGAAAAAATAAAATTAAAAGCTACTTGCCAAGTTTCAGTCAAAATGGGCATAAGAAATTTGACTTTCTCAGGAGATTTAACTATCGATGAATTTAAAAGGAATTCATTATAGACATTTAAAAAATAATTTACCAAAACTTTTCTAGGTATTTTAGAAATACAATAATAAGATTTAGCCATAAAAACAAATTCTTCTTTAGTAAATTCGGGTGTTTGAATTGCTTTTGAGTATTCATTAAATGCAATATCAGTATCAAATTTTCCTAATACAGTATCTTTAAGAGATATCTTATGAAATGCATTAAAATACGACCCCAAAATGCTAGTGTATCTGAGAAGTATAAATATAAAAACTGTTAGTAATACTGAACACATTGATAAAATATAAATTCTCCTTTTTGATGACATATATGGGTAAAATAGTATATTTTTAACTTATTGAAAAAAGGAGGAAAAATAAAAATTATTTATATTTTATTTGTTATGTCATTGCAGATACTATACGTATTTTAAAAAAATTTAAGATTCATTTTCCTGCTTGTTCTTTCGCCCAGTTACCATCTTTTCTTTTTTTTTTCGAAAAAATCTCCCGCCTTTTAAAATTTTATATTAATGACTAGCTTACACTATTTCGTTAAAACTTACTACAAATACATTTATAGTTTTTTTGCTTTTAAAATGTATGTTACATCTTTGGGCTCGTATGTATTGTTTTTAAACACAAAATAGCTCATTTTGATAAATTAAAATTTGCAAAATCACATTTTTTACGATTTGAATAATTAAATAAAACTATAGTAAAAGCAAAAAATATTGTGCTGTGATAAAATATTAAGCTTTTCAATAATGTTACTTTTTCTTAATAAAAACAATTTTTTTAATTTTTATATAAATGTTTTAAAATAAATAACTGTTTAGGTTTAAATCTTTTCAATCAATCACTCTAAAGAGAACTCTTGAAAGTGTTTCGATGGAGTTCAGACGAGGAGCAGGTCTGAAAATTGAGGAACCTAGAAGGGAAGAGAATCTTAGGCAGAAATTTACCCACGTTAAAGTCATATTTTGATAACATAAAAACTCATAACAAATTTAATTTTTAAATAAAATATTTTTTAGGTTTAAATTTTTTATAAATATAAAAAATTAAATAAATGGTCAGTTTTAAACTTTTTATATATATTGATGATTGATGATACTTTATTAATAAACAGCAAGGAAAGGTGGATTTAAATGCCATCATAAATATGTTATTTTTAAAAATAGCAATATAACAGTAATCTTTTAAACAGATTTATATGTGTTATCTTGTTTAATTTATTAATAATTTGATTTCTTGCATAGGATTGATATAGACAGGCTGTAAATCAGCACTATTGAAATGATAGCCTTGACATGTCTGTTTTTTACTAGTTTTGTAAACTATATTTCAACATTTAGTTTTATATTGTTATTTAAATTATTTATTTAAAGGTTAGTTTTTTCTTTTATTTTTGACTTATTGGTTCAGTGGCACCACTGAACAAATTTGGTGATAGATTCAGCTCTTACCCTTTCTCTGGTACATTTATTTCATCTCTTCTTCGGTACTCCAACGAGATACTCTCAAGGTCTTCTTAAGTGTCACCGATTAGATGTAAGCCACAATCCGGATTTTATATTGTATAATATGTATATATTTATATTATACTTTACTAAGTAAATGGAATCTATTAAAATTGCTTTTATACATTCTGTAGAGTAAAGATTTATTAAGAACTTAACTGGATTGTGACATATATTAACACAAAATGTGCAGATTATACGACATATTTTAACAGAAAGAAAGTAATATATTTATGAAGCAGTTTTACTTTATTTATTTTTTCCTGAAGCAAAACTTGTCTTTTAGATTGTACTTAAACATAAAGATGCTACCTTTTTGTTTAAGCTAAAAATAATATTATTTATTTATATCCTGAAGAGATATTTTTTTAAACGCTACCGATTAAGTTTAAATCTTAATATAGTCTATTGCCTCTATTCTTCTTTTATGGAATCCATGATATTAAGTTTTATTAGCAATGATAGTTTATTAAAAAATAAATCACAAATTTTTAGTATTCAAATAATATTTAAATACCCGAATATACATTTTATTTTTGTGTTCTAATTCTATTTACAATATTGTAATACTTTAACTTTCCTGTTAAATACCAATTGTACATAATTTCAATATCAAATTTTACTCTTGCTTTTTAATTTATTTTTATTTTTAAATTTATTTTTTTTATATTAATTTCAATTTTTTTACTATCACATACATATCTAGTACCTGACAGTAATTACTTAGTTTCGTATTTTCTGATCTAAAACATAATAAAAATTTTTATTTTGGTTTTTTGTTAATATAAATACTAAATAATATTTTTTTATGTGCTTTACTTCATATCAAATTTGTAAAACAAGTCTCATGCTTTATTTATATAGAACCTTCTAAATAATATTATGAAATTTGAAAAATATCTTGAGAGAAATATGTACACTCCTTATAAATATTACTATATAGATTACTCAACACTAAGTAAAAGTATAAATTTAGATGTGTGCGAATATAAACAGTTACTTAATGAAAACATAAAACTAGTAAGTGGATTTATTAAATTAAAAATCGAAGAATTAAGAAAGAGACTATCAAACTGCGCAAAAAATTCAAAGAGTCTAAAAAAGTTACTTAAAGAAATGAAGGAATTTACTGAATACGTAAGAATAAACACACGAGGGTTAAAAAAAGTCATACAACGATATGATAAAAAAACCAATAACTGCCTTTACAAAGAATATAAAAAAGTAATATATGCTATTAAAGATGATGTAGACAAGTTATCTGATATGATTTATAAATCAAGTGAGCTTATGTTAAAAAATACGAAAAAAGCTTCAATAGATAATTCTTGCTTTGTAAGGAAAACTGATAAGTATTGGGTACATAAAAATAATGTAACTACCCTTAAATTTCTAATATTACAACACCTTCCTTTGTACGTTTTTAATAATGTATATGATCCAGAGACACATGATACAAACATATCTAGTGTTTACTTTGATAGTACTGATTACTGTCTGTACTACGACAGACTAAGAAAACTACAAAATTCTGAAGCTATACGAATTAGATGGTATGGTGATGCCGATGATATCGTCTTTATTGAGCGGAAAAGACACGAAGATGGATGGACAGGTGAGGTTAGTAAGAAATTACGATTTAGATTGTATGAATCTAAGGTTAATGATTTTATATCAGGAGAAGATGTATGGAATTATGTTGTAGAACTGAATGATGTGACAGATGACTTAAAAATTTTATACAAAGAAATACAAGAAACAATTGTTACTAAAAATCTTAGACCGATGGTGCGTACATGTTATAAAAGGATAGCCTTTCAGTTGCCTAACGATACAACTGTGCGAATATCATTAGACACTGACTTGTGTATGGTAAAAGAGAATATTGATAAAAATGATAACTGGCGACGTATTAATATAAAATATCTACCTAAAGAAGAAATAGTGAGATTTCCATACGGTATACTTGAAGTAAAGACCCAGTGTATTGAAGAAAACAAACCAGACTGGATTATTGATATGACGACTGGAAGTCTTGTAGAACATGTTCATAAATTTAGTAAATATTTGCACGGTATGGCTGTTCTCTACCCCAACATAACGGAAATTCCTTACTGGCTCCCACAAATGGCAACTAAAATCTTAAAAGATCCATTTGAAAATAAATCATCGTACAAAGAGTTTGATAACAATCAAGTATTAATTGATATTCTACCTGAAGATAAGGATAGCCTTGTTGACAGTGAATATTTAAGTACATTTGATACTACAAATAAAAAGATATCTATACCTGTTAGAGTTGAACCTAAAGTATTTTTCGCTAATGAAAGGACATTTCTTTCGTGGGTACAATTCGCCATATTTCTAGGCGGAATAGGTACAGCACTTTTAGGAATGGAAAGAGAAAGAGCTCTGTTGGGCGGGATAACACTTATAGGTGTAAGTATTGTATTTGCTTTCTACGCCTTGTATTTGTATTTATGGCGTGCTGGGATGATAAGAAGAAGGGAATCAGGACCATATGATGATATATACGGTCCACCTATTTTAGTATGTGTTTTTTTATTTGCTATGTTTCTTGCAATTATATTTAAATTTCCATTAAAAAAAGTACTTTAAATTAAAATTTTCAATATAAATATTTTTAGATAAAAAATACATTGTAGTAATTTAATGAGGTACATAGTTGGTTTTTATATTTCCTGTTTATATTGGTTAACAGTTTAATTTAAGGTTATTTGTTACAATGTTATTTTTTTGTAGATCAATAATATTATTTATTTATTGACTAGTTTATAAAAAAACATTAGATTGTTATTTTTTTGTAGATCAATAAACATAGCCCTCATGAATTTAGAAAAACAAGAAAAACTAGTTTCTGAACTTGATGCAGTTATAGAATCTCTTGAAAAAGAAATTATAGAAGTTTGTAAACTTAATAATAACATTAAAGTACAATTAGATGACATGGAGAAGGATGAATTACTTACTCTAGCATGGATTTCTGCATATCCAAAAGATTTATAGGCAGTTATATATTACAGTTAAAGAATTATTTTTATTTATTAAATATTATCTTTTAGATCAATTCTTAACCCTTTTATGGACTCATTTTTTGTAAGGGGACTTTACAGGACCATTGATTTTCTTAATAAAATAAAAATAGATATTCCACCACTAAAAATATTATTTTCACCTACAGATGTACAATATACAGTGTATATGAACTTAAAAGAATATTTTATAGCATATAACTTATTATTGTGTGATGAGAGTAAAATTTTTACTGATACTATCATCTTTTGTACCTGCTGTGGGAATCTAAAAAATTTTATGAGAAATTATGCACTGTTTATGCATAAAAAAGGAAACCCTGTAAAAATTAATACTAAAAATTGTAATGATGATTTTTTGTTATATTTAGTAGGGCTGGTAAATAAAGATATTAACGTATTACTAGAAGTAGTGAATAAACAACCCTACTTTTGGGATGCATATCTTGCTATAATAGATCTAGTGACATCAGAAACAGTACCTGATATTACTGGTCCACTGAGTGAATTTTTTTATATGAAATTATTTGTTAAAAAACAAATTTATAAGAAAACATTTAGGTTACGAGATGAATATTTAAATTTAAAAGGAGCTGTTTTATATTACAGACGTGAATTTAATAAAGCGCAAAAAATATTTGAAGGATGTAATGTGTATTCTGAATATCTCGATCTGCATTCTAATATTTTGTATATTAAAAAAGATCCTTGTGTGTATGACATAGCATATAAATTAATAAATATGAATAGATACAGAGCGGAAACATTCTGTTGTATTGCAAATACATACAGCTTTAAAAAGGTTCATAATAAGGCTATAGAATATTACACTGTGTGTACTAAACTCTCTCCTTGTTCTATTTACTTCACTTTACTGGGCCACGAATATTTGGAAATGAAAGAATATAAAAAGGCTATAGAGTCATACACTGAAAGTTTAAGGATATCAGAAGATGATTATAGAGGATGGTATTCCTTAGGAAAAGTGTGTGAAGTACTAAATATGATTGAAACAAGTTTATTTTACTATAAAAAGGCTGTAGAATATAAAAAAGATGACACACTTGTTTGGCTTAGCCTTGGAAATGTATACATTACTTTACAGTTATATGAAGATGGTCTTAAATGTTTTAAACGGAGTGTAAAGCTAAATGATTCACTTGGATATTTATATATTGCTGAGACTTATAAAACAATGAAGATGTACAGTGAGAGCGCCGAATTTTATGAAAAGTTTGTAAATGCCAGTAAAGAAAAAGACGGGGATGTAAAGAAAATATGTCTATTTTTAGAAGAGTATTTTAGGAAAATGTGTGATAATGAAAAGAGTAAAAAATATTTTGATATGGCTAAGGAAATTGATTAAAGTTTTTTTATGTGAATTTCATTGTTTTTTGTTTGTTTACATTTTTTTTAGAGTGTAAAAGAAAATATAATATATTATTTCATGTACATCTATAATATAATTATTAACAGGTTATTTATAATATTTAATTATTTTTTAAATATATATTGCGTTTCATAACCCAATTCTAATACTATGGTATTTTAAAGTAAATAAGTTTTATTAAAAAGTTTTATAAAAAAAAATATTTTATAATAAGTAAATTCTCCTTATATTTAAAGTAAAATGTCAAATTGATACATTTTAAAATATTACATTGTGTATTGACAACTGTCAAAAAAATCAAAAATTGGTAAACAATAATTTTTTTTATATAAACGGCCTTTCATTTCTTTTTATTGATAAAATGCTACCTTTTTTAACAAAATTAATTTATTTTTTAATTTAGAAAGTGATGGTCTAAAAGTAAATATTGTAAAAAAAGTATAAAAGAAAAAAATTTTTGTACACCTATGAATCGTCTTAGCTTGCTTTTACTCTTAGTAGAGATTGTAAAATCATTTACCGCTGTTATTGCTGAAGGAACATGTGATCAGAATCCTTATGAGATTTGTACTGCTGTGAATAGGACAGGTGTATTGGCCAATTCTACTAACCTGAAGATACTTACAGATCTGCTTACTGAAAAAGATGTGGAGAAAGCTTATGTTTATGGATGGGAAGATCATAAAGATTTGTATGTCTTGTACTCTAATGGTACGCTTGTGCCGTATATCAAAGATAGGATTACTAGTAAATATGCTTTGTGTGTTGGTGATTGTCCGTGTAAACCGAAAATATTGGGTGCAGATAGTAATACGTCGTGTTGTGGTAAAAAAGATAAGCCAGTTGTGGAATCATGTTGTGGTAAAAAAGATAAGCCAGTCGTGGAATCGTGTTGTGGTAAAAAAGATAAGCCAGTCGTGGAATCATGTTGTGGTAAAAAGGATAAGCCAGTTGTGGAATCATGTTGTGGTAAAAAAGATCAAATCAAAATTGCTTCGCCGTGTTGTGGCAAAAAAGATCAAATCAAAATTGCTTCGCCGTGTTGTGGTAAAAAAGATCAAATCAAAATTGCTTCGCCGTGTTGCACATCAGAAAGAACACCAAGTTATGTCAGAGAACCCGATAAAGATTGTAAGTCATGCTGTGCACTATCTAACCAACAGAATGAATCTAATGCTTACCGCCGAAATCGTAGACAACGAAGATTGCGCAGACGTAAAAGACATCAACGAAGAAATGAATCATCATCAAATGAAAGTACAAATAATTCAAATAACGAAAGTTCTTCGCCTTATTATCGATGTTATCCAATACCTACCATTAGGTTTGAAGAATATGCAGAGGAAGTACCTTTCTCACCAGCACCGGTTATTACGTCGTGCTTAACAACAGAATCCAAATCATTCGAAATTGAGTCTATCAATGAAAACTTCTTTACTCTTTTAGCCAAAGAGGAACTTAATAAAGTTAGGAAAAAAGAGATGGTAATAGCAGTAAATGAAGGAAAACTATTTGATATTCCTAGGAAGTTGTATGATCCATGGTTCCTGTATGGGTTAAAACGTAGGATTAGTAGGGATCACCGTGTTAAAGCGTGTCTTTACATATCCGATGATGATCAATTGTTCGCAATGATCAACGGAAAGCTATTCTTAGTTGATACAACAGATAACAATATAAAACTGGAAATTGTACATAAAGAAAAATTGGGTTGTCTGGAGTTACATGAGATAGTATTCCGCATGTAAATAAACAATTAGTGTAAATTTTTATTTATTATAATTACAGTTTAATACATCTATTATAAATTTATATTTTATATTATAAATTTATATTTTAGAGTAAAATTTTAGTTACTAAAGTACTGTTTACTAACACTTTTAAAATACCATAAATTTACAACCAGTATTAACTAACTCGTTTTAAATACATTTTATCACAATAGTAATTTTTACTATTCTAAAACTTCTTATTACAAATTGTAATGTTTTAACAGTCTACTAATTTTTAGACAATATTTTCAATTTACGCCCTCATGAAAGAACTAGAAAATCTAAAGATCTCTAAACAAGTCATAAACATTGTTTTTGTTGGGCACGTAGATGCAGGAAAATCGACTATCTGTGGACAGATTTTAATGTTAAGAAATATTGTTGATACTAGAACTATAGAAAAATACAGAGAATCTGCCAAAGAAAGTGGCAGAGAAAATTGGTACTTAAGCTGGTGTATGGATACAAATCCCGAGGAAAGGGAAAAGGGGAAGACAGTTGAACTTGGTACTGCATTTTTTGAGCTTCCAGATAAAAAAATTAATATTCTTGATGCGCCAGGTCATAAACAGTACGTTTTCGAAATGATCAGTGGAGCAAACTGTGCGGATGTTGGAATCCTTGTTGTTAGTGCACGTATTAACGAATTTGAAGCGGGCTTCGAAAAAGGCGGACAGACTAGAGAACACATTTTACTGATGAAGAGTGGTACTATTCAAAAATTAATAGTATTAGTTAACAAAATGGATGATCCTAGTGTCAACTGGTCCAAAGAAAGATTTACAGAGATTGAAACTAAAATCGGATCTTACATTAAGTTTTTATTTAACGATACTATTTTTATACCCGTTAGTGGTTTAACTGGTTCTAATATTAATAAGTTAGAAGATAACTGGTACACCGGTCCGACATTTTTTGATTATTTAAATAGTATAAAAATCAATAAAAGATGTACTGATAAATTAAATATTATTATTGTAGAAAAATTAAAAGCATTAGGATCCAGTTTAATTTGCGGGAAGATTGATAGTGGAATAATTAGAAAAGATACTTTTGTTAAAGCTGTACCTCAAAATTTTAATGTACAGATTGTAGGACTTTACAATTTAGATGATGTAGAAATTGATGAAGGGGTTCCTGGTGACACAGTGAAAATGAAAGTTAAGTCAGAAGAAGAAGAGTTACAACTTGGAAGCCATCTTGTTGAATTAACAGATGATATTTATAAAAAGACAAAATTATTTACATGTAAACTTACTTTATTAGAATGTGATAATATAATATGTTCTGGATTTACTTGTATGTTACATATCGGTGTATTAAGTATTCAATGTAAAGTGGAAGGAATTAGAACATTAGATAATAAAAAGGTTAGATTTACAAAAGCCGGTAATAAAGTATTAGTAAAAATAAGGACAGAAAAAGAAATTGCGCTGTCTAGTGAAAAAAATAAAGAGAAATTTGCATTAAGGTTAGGAGAAAAGACGTTGGGTGTTGGTGTAGTGCGAAACATTTTATAAATAAATTTTTAAAAACAATTAATTATTAATAATTTATTTTACCATCCTTTTCTCTCCATCATATCTTATTTTTCTTCCTTGTCTACTTCTCACTCTCACAATCCTTGCATGGCAGGCGCATGAAACACAGTACTGATTTTTATACGAAATTCTCGGCACTTCAAATACATCATAAATAGATGCTACTTTTACATCATCCATAGATCCTGCTTCTACAAGTGGAACAATCTTAAACCTTTTAATGGCCTTATCCTTTGGTACAAGTCTACCACATTTATCACATTGGACAGGTTTACAAGATCCTCTATTTTTTCTGTTTTTACCGTGATTTTTTCTTTTTACTGGCATTTTTGGGGGTAGAAAATTAAACATAAAAAAAATTAACAAATAGCAAGTTGTTACTTATTTACAGTAAAAAGTTACTTAAGAATACTAATAAATAGTTTAATGTAGAAAATTACTTATGAATTACTAACAAATACTAAGTTATTACTTATTTATAAAAACTTATTTTTAGAATTTTATTTTAAAAATTTTTATTTAAAAAATCATAACTTATAAATTTTAATAAAAATTTATTCAAATCTACGTTTTACTCCACTAATATATTACATTTAATCTAACACTTTTCTATACAACAGATATGTAAATAATAATCCAATAATACCCATTGTTATTAGTGCTATTGATAAAAAGTAATTTTTAGTACCTGCCCATGACATTTGACTAAAAAATACCTTTTTGTTACCGTATGGGTATTTAGAATCTATTTCTAAATTGTACACACCCGCTTCTCTGACATTAATAGTCCCCCACAACTTTCTAAAGTTATAAAAAGGTGATGTATAAATCCAGTTAATAAATCTTTCATTATCAGATAAATTAGGTATATTTCTATATCTATCCCATAATGGTGGTGGTATTACTTCACTTCTATCATATCCACTCGGTTTTATCTTCTTTCTCATACTATTCCATGATATATTAGAAGTATTGATATTTAAATTTGAGAAAGTAAACCCGTCTTGAAAAAATGTATTGGGAAGAATACCCGCTGGATAATACACTTTACCTCTTCTACTACTTAAAGGATCTGTAACATTAGAATTAGTCTCTCTATCGCCTTTTAATTGATTATAACTTATACTTTTAGAATATTTTAGATTGGTCTGGTAGAAGTCATCTATCTGAATGTAAAAGTACATTGTAGATTGCGGGAAATATATTGGAATAGTAGTGCTATCACTGTAACTTATTAATGTCTCATATAGGTTGTAATATGTATATGTCATAATACAACCCATTGTAAGGGAAGTAATACTAAGAACTAGTAGCACAAGTGTATGTTTTGATAAGGATCTAGAGACAAAATGTCCTCTTATGTTTTGTTTTAAAATGTCATTTTTAAAATTATTTAAATTTCTATTGAGTCTGCGAAACATAGGGTGTATAAATGGAAATAAATAATAAGCTATGTATTTTGGCTTTAAAATTATTTAGTGCACAGATTGACGTTATTGTTTAAAAATTAAAAAAAGTAACATTTAAAATAATTAATTAATAAATTTTAAAGTAAACAAATAATTCTAAAAATGGTTTACTTATAAGGATAAGTATGATTTACTTATTATATACCACTTATTTTTAAGTTAGCACCTGCTTATCGATTAGGTTAACCTCTTGAACTTAACAATGTATTTTCGGGGCTAAAGATTTCTCTGCGTCTTTCAATAGTCAAACAAATAAGCTAAAATAATATTTTATCTGAGTATTTAAAAACCATAAAAGCCTTGTAGTTGGTAGACCTTGTGGTAGCATTTTTGACTAAAAGTGGTGCCTGTCTCAGATTAGATTTTACATCTTACACATTCGTGATAATACGAAGTATCTAACACGAGTGTGTATATAAAAATATTTTTAATAAATAAATTTAATAACAACAAATAAAATTAACTTTTAATACTCTCTTTATAATCAGGAGATATTTCTCCTAATAAATACGAAAGTGTACATAAAAAAACTCTAATAAATATAAAATTAACTTTTAATACTCTCTTTATAATCAGCGGCACTTCCCCTAAAATACTTAAGTGTCTTATTTTCACAAACGTATACCTCAGAAAAAGCTTTACTTACAAAATTAAGATCGTGACTAACACAAACTACACCACCCTCAAACTTTCGTATACATTCAGCCAATGCTTCTATAGATTCCATATCAAGATGATTAGTAGGTTCATCAAACACCAATAAGTTGGGCTTAAGACCATTTATAAGTGCCATAGTCAACCTGCTCTTTTGTCCGCCTGATAAAGTACCTATTCTTTGATTATCTACATTTAAACCGAAATTCGCCAACGAACGCTTGCTTTCTTCCAACGTATATTTCTTAAGCATTAAATCTAAAACTTTTTCATTAATATTTAGATTGTCTACATGATGCTGTGCGAAATATCCGACACGGAGTGATGAAGCTTTAATAATATAACCATCACAATTCTGTAAATTATTAGTTAACATCTTTAAAAATGTAGATTTACCTTGTCCGTTAGCACCTACTACTACTATTCTAGATTTATTAGTTATAGAAATAGTAACATTTTCAAAAATCTGCTTACCTTGTACATACGAAAACTTTACATCACGCATTTCAACTAGAATACCTTTACACACTGTACAATCAAAGGTAAATTTAATAATAGGATCTTTTTTAGGAGGAATAAGTGGTGGCATTTTGGCCAGTTGTTTAATTTTAGATTGCGCTAGTGCTGCTCTTGCAGCACTAGCTCTAAATCTATCGATAAAACTTTGCAAATGCTCTCTCTGTCTTAATTGATTTTCATATTCTCTTTTCAACTGTAACAATCGATTATTTCTCTGTGCTACAAATGCGTCGTAATTTCCCTTGTAAATATCAATCTTGTAGTCATTTAAATGTAAAATTTCGTCGACTACGTTATTTAGAAATGTTCTATCGTGCGAGACAATAATAACGGTCTTAAGATCTTTTATTTGTTTTTCAAGCCAATTTAGGGCATTAATATCCAAATAGTTAGTGGGTTCATCTAATAAAAGTAAATCAGGATTTATATTTATGGCCTTTGCTAGATGGGCCCTCATACGCCAGCCACCACTAAGATCTTTTAAATTAAAATTAAACATTTCTTTTGTAAACCCAAATCCTGATAAAATACGACCACCATTCTCTCCCACATGTTCTAGTACTGTGATATCAAGATTACATTCTTGTTCAATCATGTATATTTTAATACCTCTAGGTATACCAAATTTCCTTTTTTTAATATTTTTTAAAAAAGTAGTTTTTCCTATTCCATTTCTACCGACTAATCCGTATTTTTTACTTCTATTAATTGTTAAATTACAAGAATCAATAATTAATTTACTCTTAATACTTAAATTAATATTCATAACAATATCATCATGATATATTTCATCAGTAGAAGAATACTCATCTTCTGTAGATTCAGAAAAGATTGTATCATTTTCTAATATTTCAGATGTACTTGCCATTTTTTTATTTACTTTTTTCGGTTGGATACAAAATGGTGTTTCAAGAGGTATAGGTTTACTAGCATAATTAAGTTTATAATCTGTGATACCCCATGATAAAGCTTCTTCATCTGTTTCAAATGGATAAGTTTTTAATTTTTCTAAAAATTCTTTTTTTACTTGATCAAGATTCATAACAGAAGGGTAAGGTGTTAAAAGTGTGTATTAAAGTGTAATAAAAGTGTAGAGTGGTAGAAATGATAATTAAAGAATAAAATGTTAAAAATGTTTATTAAAGTGTAATAAAAATGTAGAGTGCTAGAAATGATAATTAAATAATAAAAAATTAAATATATGTCTTAAAATTAATAAATTCAATTAATTTTTTATAGAAGTATAAACCATATATTAAACTTATTATATTACAGGTTGTTATAATTTACATAGAAATATTTATATCTTTTATTTCAGACTCGAACCATTAATAAAAATTCTATAAAATATAAATTTTTTTTAACCCTCAATAAGTAGAAGAAGGAATGTATTTTATAAAAAGTTCTTTTATTACTTAAATATTAAAACTACTTGTAAAACATCCATACTGTTTTGTAACAGCTGGACACCTGATGGTAGTTACATTTTTATATAAATTTTTTTTAATAGTTAGTAGTGTATCTTAAAAATATTTTATATTTTTTTTTATTTGAATTTAATACATAAATAATATGTATGAGTGATAGTAAAGCAATTCTTAATTTTTTTGTTATAAAAGCTGTAAATTTATATCTTCTAATAAATTAATATATTTTTCATCTCCCTTTTTATGCATCATTGTCTTTACACAAAAGATAAAAAGAAAAAGCTTAAAAAATGGGAGGAAGGATTTTATAAATATTTTAATAATAAAATAACTGTATACGATTCTGATAAAAAACTTGTTTGTACAAAAGTAACTGATTTAGAGAATGAAATTGATACTTTTAAATATTTAATTTATATAGAAAATTTAGAAGATAAAGAAAATAAAGAATGTGAAATTTTTACACCAGTGTGCGATACTAAAGAAGAAAGCGCTGATGTAAGTGAAATATCGCAGAAATATTATTTTAAACGAAGTAATAAAGATATATTGAATTTAATTAAAAATGTAAAATTTAATAAATAATATAATATAAATTATTTAATTTATTATATTTTGAACTATTTAATATTTTTTCCTATTTGTAAATAGTACACTTAGTTAAAAAAATAACACATACTTTATTTAATATCTTTTTCTATTTGAATAGTCACTTAGTTAAAAAAATAACAATTGCTTTATTTAATATCTTTTCCTATTTTAATATTTGTAGGTAGTACGTTCATAAACTCTTCTACTGATATCCTTTTTATGATCTTTATTATCCTCTCTTCAGTATCTTTTATAAAATGAGATATAATTCCTTGAATAACTTTTCCTTTTTTGTCTTTACCAGGTAAAATACGCACTCTAAACTTATACAAGTCTTTTAAAACTTTATAAGGTGCCGAAAGTGGTAAAGCGTAGTCTATTTCATAATTGGAAGGATTAGTAACAAAAACCGCATCTTCATATTTAATAAAATAATCTCCTTCTTGAATATCATCAGATGTTTTAAATAACAGCCCTACTCCATATTCTAATTTATAAACATTTACATAAGTTTTTGTACCTCTAATTAAAAAAGATCCTTTAGGTAGAAATTGTCCAGTAGGAGGGGTCTTACTAACCTGATCGCTTTTCACATAAAAAACAGGAGAGACTACATTTACTTCCCAACAAGCGGAATTACACAATGCAACTAGAGCAACCTCGTCAATATTGACATCTGCTTCAGAAATAACACTAGAGCCACCCGAAGACTCTGTATGAAAATACAAATGATTTGGTGTTAGATGTTTTTTAACAATAATTTCATTCTGTTGCGCATTCTTTCCTCCTATAACTAACTTTTTATCGGTTGTAAAACAAAAATTAAATTTTTCAAACCAAAAAACTGAGCGCTGAATCTTAATTTTTTCTTCTTTTGTGTACGTTTTAATTTTAATTGTATCAATAGCTTTTTCAGTCTTTAAAATCTTCTCTTCAAATTTTTTACGTTTTTCAAAATAATTTTGTGCATTAGAATGTAGTGATTTATCAAAACTAATTTCTATAAAATGAGAATCTTCATTATCCTTTAAATCGATTATACAAGATTTATTCTTAAAATCCGATTTAACAATTATATCTGCAATTTCATTTCCTTTGGATTTTTCGTCCTCTTTAAATTTTAAAAAATCATTCCAATTTAACTTATTTTTTATAACGTAATTATGAATATCAAGAACATTCTCTACAATATCCGCATTTTTAAGAATGAGATCGGCCTTCATTGTCATATCTTTAACCATATTTTCTAGTTCCTTAATATGTTCATATTGCTTATTTCTTATTTTCTGTAATTTATCTACTTTTTCAATTTTTTTCTTTCTTCTATCCATAAAAAAAAATTCTACAGCTTCATTAAAAGACTGAAATGTTTTTTTATTGTCAATTTCAATATCAAATGGAAAAAATGAAAAAGGTTTTCCTTTTTTCATCTGAACTGCTCCAAAACCACCGATATTACTTATAAATTCATTAAATTCTTGTAAACAATCATTAAAGATTGTTTTATATTTAGGATCTTTGTCTACCAGTATATCTGTACCAGTTAACTTATTTATTTTTTTAATTAAATTATCAACCAATTCTTTTTCAAACGGTAAAAATTCTTTAAACTCCATATTGCAAAAATTTTCCCAACTAAAATCAAATTCTGCAGGATTAAAAACATACTGAGTGTTTTTTATAATATCAAGTTCTTTAACAACACGAAATACTTCCACAACTTTATCAAATTCATCTAAAATAAACACATTACCACCACTAAAAAATTCTATTACGATTTTTTGACGCGACAATTCAAAAACAATTACTCTATCAAAACCTACTTGATAGATATCGACTACTTTATCACGTCTAGCTTTTTTTCTTAAAATATTACAAAAATGGCTAATACCATCATCGGCTTCACTTGTAAGATGAATTCTTATTCCTGGTTCAATTAACAAAATATCTTTTGAACTGAATTTAATATAAATGATTCTCTGTTGTGTGGTGTTAAAGTTCTGTATAAACTTGTTTATCAATTTTGGCTTAATTTCGTTAATTATTGCACGAATGTCTAAAAAGTTAAATCTTTGTTTCATTCGAGGGGTAAAAAATGTTAAAATTAATAAGGAATAATATCAAGTACCATTAATGGTAAGAAAAAGAAGAAATTCTATTTTTAGTATTTAAAATACATGAAAAATTGCAGTTAAAAATTAATCAATTTATTGATGAAATTTTTTAAACAGCTAAAAGAAAAATTATTTTTAAAATCATGTTATTTTATAATTTAAAGTTTTGTCAGAAAACGCTAATAGTCATTTCTTTGGGATATAAGAGGGCTTAGATTTTTAAGGATCTGGTGAGGAAAATATAGCTATGGCAATGGTCCCGATTAGAGAACAAAGTGAACACAATCCTTTACAGAACAAAAACTTAGTTGATAGTACTTCACAAATAAATAATAATATTACGAAAAAAGTTTTAAAATAAAGGCTTAACAATTTTAAAAATAATATCAGTAAAGGACAAGTTAAATTTAAAAAATTACTGTAGGACAGTAAAGATGTAGACATGTCAATCAGCAGTATTGGGTCGATGGCATTGACATGTCTGTTATATGAATAATAATTATTAAATAAACCCACATTTTATACTAACAGTTACAAAAAGAAATTTTTACTTTTATACAGTTATAATATTCATTTTTAATGAATTTATAAGCATATATTTTGTTATTAAGTGTTTAGAGTGTACAAATAGAAAAAGTAAATTGAGCAATATAATTATGAATAGATAAAGTTGAAATAGTTATTTATATTTTAAATAAAAATTTTAATATAAAATATTATGATAAAGAAAAATTAAAAAGAGAAATATTTGACATAAGAATATTTTATAGAATATAACTTATATTAAAATACATAAGTTTATAAAGATATACACTTAAATTTAAATAAAATATTTTTGTGAAGAAGTAATAAAAATATCCACTTATAATTTTAAAATAAAAAATATTTTGATTTATTTCTTTTTTTTAGTTTTCGAAGTAGGCGGATTATGTTTAAATAATATTATATCACCATCACATACAACGTATTGCTTACCTCTTTGATGATACTTTCCTTGTTTTTTTACTTCTGCTTCAGAGCCAAGTTTAATTAAGTCATCATAAGAACAAACTTCCGCCATAATGAAATAATTCATAAAATCGCTATGTATGACAGCACCTGCTTGTGGTGCAGTACATCCACGTCTAATAGTCCAACTGCGCACTTCATCCTTACCTATAGTAAAAAAGTTTATTAAATCTAATAATTCATATCCTTTTTTAGCCAATTTGCTAATAAATATTGATCGTTTTTCTGATTCGTGCTCGAAAATTGCACTGAAAACAATAACATTGCGTGTAAACTTAAATAAAGCTTTTAAATGCTTATTGGCTTTTTTCTTATTGTAATCTTCTTCACTAACATTTGCTAAATAAACAACGTTTTTGACAGTTAATAAATCTAAAGTAGAAATAAACGACACTTCTTCATCTGAATATTGATGTTCATTAACCCAAGAACTTTCTAAAATCTTAAGAAGTCTTTCAATTAGGTCTAACCTATCTTTAAAATTTTTATCTAAGGCTTTGCCTCTACTTTCTTTAATCATTCTCTCGCGAAATTTTGTAAGCGTTTCTAAATCTTTTTTTCGTAATTCATCGTTAACAACCTTTATATCACGAATGGGATCAACAGAGTCTTCTACATGCAAGATTTCGCTGTCTTCAAAGCATCGAACTACGTGAAATATGGCATCGACGCTACGAATATGGCTCAAAAAGCAATTTCCCAGACCAAATCCTTCACTGGCGCCTTTGACTAATCCAGCAATATCTGTTACATTAAGACATGCCTTTACAACCTTATTGGGTTTACAAATATTTACTAAGTTGTCACATCTTACATCATCAATTTCTACTTTACCGTGTGAAGGATCAATAGTACAAAATGGATAGTTTTCAGCAGGAACTGAATTTTTAGTTAGAAAATTGAATAATGTACTTTTACCAGTATTTGGTAGACCTACAATACCAACTGTTAAGTTATTTGATTTATTAGATCTGGTGTACTGTACTGCCATAAAGGGTAAAAATTTTATAAAATAAAGAATTTTTTTCATGTAATTACATAAATGTATACTGGTGTTTGTACAGTCTGTTTGATTTATTTAATTATCTTTAAATATATAAAAAAGATAAGAGATTGTTTAGATTAGTTGTGTATTTGTGATATTAATCATATTTATTTTTTACAAAAAAATAAGAGATATTATTGTAGGACAGTAAAGATGTAGACATGTTAATCAGCTGTATTGGATGGAGGGCTTTGACATATCTGTTATGTAAATAATAATTACTAAATAAACCCATGTTTTATCCCAACAATTATAAATTTAGTTATGTATTTGCGGTATCCACCACATTTTTTTTATCTTTTAAAATACCCAAAAATAAACCTTCTAGAATTTTTTTTATTATAAATAAAGTTTTATAAAAGAAGAACATGAATATTTAAATTAGCAACAGCACCATAAACGGGTTTACAAAAATAGAAACCAAAAGAAAGAATAAATTTTATAAAATTATGAAATCACCTTTTATTAGTTCCATATTGTAACAATATTTTCGTTTTGGCCACCTCACTAGACGTTACACGAGTATTATTTGTCGTTGTTATAAAGAAAGTACTCAGAATTAATGTTATAAAAAGTAATTTTAAGATAAACAAAAAAATAAGTATAGCACATTTTACTCCTCATTTGCTGCTAAAAAATTTATTTATAAAATAAAAACATTTTTCTTGCAAAGATTTAGCTACTGTGAACTATAAAAGCCCTCATTTGCGACAGTATAATGAATTTTCTGTAATTAACCTCGCCAATTATTAGTGTATCACATGTTTTATAGGCATACACGAATTTTTATTTTTATGTATTTGTAAAAAAAGCTGTGTAAAACATCCTCTTTAGATACCTTTAAGAAATAAATTTTTTAAATTGCAGTTATATATAAAATGTTTAGAACTTCATGACCATTTTAATTCTAATAATAACATCCTGTAGTTAAGATTCTTAACAGCTTAATATAAAAAAGATAAATGAAATACTTTGTTGTAAGAACTTTAATGTATGAATATATAAAATAGTATACATTTGTATATATGTAAATATTACTTATTTAAACCATTAATATTAAGAAATAATATCTTAACTGATTGTATTTATTCAGAAGAAAGATTAATTAAATAGTATCAAAATACAAAATTATAGATATCCTCATAAAAAATTATATAAATACTAGCTTATGCTACCTTGTTTAAAACGAGACTACGAATACGATACATGCTTTTTGTTTAAATTATGTATATATATCATTGCTTATGTATGTATCGTTATTAATTTGATAATTGTATTTTTTAAATAAATAAATTCAGTAATGGCGCACATTTTACAATTTGAACAATTGAATGAAACTTAAAAAAATCCATTTAAAATATTAAGCTGTCCATTATAAAGATAGCTATAAAAAAATGTTATTTCTTTAAAAAAACATTTCTCATAATTTTTTAAAAAGGAGGGGTTAAAAAATAAATAAATATTCAGATTCAAACTTTTTATATATATAGACTAGCTTGCGCTTTCCCGTTTAAAACGGGACTACAAATACGATACATGCTTTCTTTATAAATTATGTGTATATTTCTTTATGCATATAATGTATTGTTGAAAATTTAAAAATTACATTCTTCCATTAAAAAATGGCAATAGTGCACACACTTTACAACTTGAATAATTAATTAACTAAAGGGAAATGTTTACAAAATTTTGTACCGTCCATAGAGTAATAACTTTATGCTGTTTGTTACTATTTAATAATGAAAAATACAAAGAATTTTACAAATTTTTTAAAAAAGAATTAAGAAATAAATAAATGTTCAGATTCAAAATATCAATATATTTTGATTAATTAAATCCATGTTAAATCCTGGCGTGTTTGCCAGGAATTGCCCCTGTGGCTAAAAAACGTTCTAGGATGCTGAGGGAAATATGTTTAAATAAAGTGTTTTTATTGAAATCGGACTTTGTACTTGTAGAAGAATTTTTGTTGTAGTGGCTACTCTGATTTATCATTTTTTAAATTAAATTTTCTTATTTATATTTATAGTAAACCAATAAACATATTTGTTTAGAAAATGGTCCAATATATTAATTTAATCATTAAAACGAATGACGTTTTAACGTGATATTGTAAATCATTGGTCATCTTAAAATGTGGTATAATTCTTATACCACAAATCCCAACAACTTATTTAAAAAAAAGTTTAAAATTTTCCTTTTTTGATTTAATAAAAAATCAAAAGAAAAACAAAAAATTATGACTTTTAACAAATCTATGATGAATGTAAAAACTAACAAAGTAATATAAAAATATTTATTAGCAGTATAATTAAATTTTTAAAAAATAAATACGTACATATGATACAAAGCATTTTATACTTTAAAAATAAATTTTTTTATAAATATTAAACAATAAAAATGCCCATGAACAAACTAAATGTATTATTTAAGATGTCTTATATTTTTTCATCACAAATATTCCCAGTAGTTCCACAAATACATAAAATGTATGATATTGATTTAAAAGGTACTTCATCAGCAAAATATGACTTTTTTATAAAAAACTATTATTCATCTAACAATAATATTTTAATTATAACGGAAGTCAAATCACCGCACTCTGATATTTCTGGATTTTTTTGTATTTATTTTAATCGAGTAACTAATACGTACATTAAAAGTTTGTATTGCTTTTCAAAAGATTTTACAAATACTGACAAGATATTTCACCAATTAAATTTTATTACATCCTTAGGGCAAAACAATATTCTTTACATACAAATTGCTTCAATGTTGCTTAATAATGCATCACAATCTCAGTATGGTATTGTAGTCGAAAAAAATTTTCAAAATGTGGGTGATATGAGTTTGAAAATAGAAAATCGTTTTATAGAACTTGTATTGTTAAATAAGAGAAAAACAATTTCATTGTCCTGTCAACTTCTTCACGGATTAACAAATAAATCTGCATCAAGAATTATGCATGCTTTAGAAAATAAAGATTACATTTTAGCATTTTTTGACAGAGATTATAGTAAGATTATTAATTTTCTAGAAAAATTTATTTTGATATTACAAGAAGTTAATGAACTGTTACAATATAGGTTATCTATATTTTTTACAAATTTTATGAAAAACAATTTAAATACCTTTTGGAAAAATGAACTTATGCGCTCCGATGAGGATTTTGAATATTTTAAAGATATTCATTTATCGAATTGCTTTTTTGAAGATCTACGTAACTTATTTTGTCTAGTTGAGGATCCAAATTACAAATTCAGACATTTTGATTATGATCAATACATCGGAGCACTTTTTGGTTATCCATTAATTGCCGTTTTATTTAACTTTCAAGAAGATATTGATGAAAAAAATTTAGAATGTTTCGCTTTCGACAGGAAGAAGAATAAGTTAGACTTTAAACTAATGATTGATTCAACGAAAAGAAAAATTTTTTTTATGTTTAACGGGAATAATCTGAAAAAGTCCAATATTACACAAATTGATTGCATAGTTAAAACCCCCAATAAACTCTACAAATCGTCTGATATTGATTTAATTGAATACTTATAATAAAATTTTAAGTAAAATATCTTTTTAAATTTCTTATATTAAAAAGTGGTTTTGTGTAACAACACTTTCTAGGAGTTTGTAACCCGGATTGACAGAAAAGTTGGTCCTAAAATTTTTTATTTTTTATTTAAAAATAAAATTCAGAAGATTGAGAACAGTAAGTATATTATATAAAAATTTAATCTTTTAAGTTTTGATTTAATAAAGGCCAAAACAACTATATAAGGGACTAATTTGTAATTTTTCAACAGCATAAATTGAACTTAATAAGGATTTATAAGCTTCCTAGTTCTACACCTAATGTATATCTTTTTTTAAAGCAGACTAAAATTCTTCTATTATGTTGGTGTAAACGCTTGTACTAGATCTTTAAAATATTTAGAATGATTAAATGTTGAGCGTTTTACACCAATCTCTTGTAAATTGGTGTAAACTTCCCAACAATCGCTATATACTATCGAATTGCGCCATACATACACTATTACTTAAATAAAGCATTAAGGTCGATTTTGTCTTATCATTAACCTGAAATAATAATATTTTCTTGTTATATGCTCTTTCAACCATCCTAAAAATCTAAACTTCTTTTACCAGATGTCCTTTGTTATACTTAATTTTTCCAATTTTTGATTCGTTTATTCCAATGATTTGGTTTTTTATGTAATTTAGATTAGGATAAAACTTTTAACAATCCCTTTGAACTTTCGTCTTTAAAACTTTAAAAACACCTTTTCTTAAAATTCGTAATATAAAGCTATTAAATTAGTATTAGCTAACCAGAGCTCTATTATTTTCGAAAACGTTATTTTTAAAATTTCAACATTAGCAAAAATTGTGTCCTTTCTATCTGAACTTTTTTACTATAGCTAGGAAAATTTTATTCTGAAATCTTCATGTTCAAAATTCATTTCTTTTTTAATCAAACAATGTCTGTGAAAATTTACACAAAGATCCGTATATATTTCTATATTTTTCTAAAATATTATATTAAAGCTTTTTTGTTCTCAATCTTCTGAATTTTATTTTTTGGGATAAAAAACAAAAAAATTAAATCCACTTTTCTAGTCAATCGGGTTATATTAACCAAATTTTTAACAACATATTATTGTCCGACACTCCTCTACTTGTAAAATTACCCTTAAAAATTTTTATTTGAGCATAGATGGATAATGCCACAAAGGGCTTTGTCTTGTTATATTACAAAAGTATGCAGGATTCGAATCTGTATAAAACATTTTTATGTAGATTTAAAGTCAGGAATTTGTAAAGTAAAAAATATAAATACTGTAAAATGTGTACGAGAAGTCCTTTGCTTCTCTGGGGTTCGGTCACGAGCTGGATGCGTGAAATTTAGTAGTTATATCCCTGGCGAAGAAAACACAGATTATTTATAAACCTTAATTTTTGATAAAAATTTACATAAAAAACAATTCAATTTTTAAAAGTTAAATTAATGATAATGTCATTTTTGATACTAAACTAAATATAAAATTTTAACTAAATTGAAATTTTGTTAAAAAATAATATGTTTAGAAAATACACCAAAAATTAGAAAAAAGTGCTAGTTGAAATGTCTCTGGGGATATGTGCGGTTATTTCCACCAGGGAAAATAATCGCAGTATAATTTTTTTTAATATTTTACCCTTATATTAGAAGAAATTTTGCCAATTATTGGTACTGATATAAATTGTACTATCAACTTTCTCAAATCCACTGGATTGATCAAAAGGAGCATGTGTTGTGTATATTGCTCTAGAGGTATAGACTGGCTAGCTTGTAGTAAGACTAAAGACAAATTTGTTTGGAAGTGCGGAAACAAACAATGTCTTAAGTTTAAAACTACACTTTCAATCAGAAACAATTCGTTTTCTGAAAAAAACACGAATTGATTTACAAATGGGAGTATACGCAATTTATTTTAAAAAAAACACTTCGCATAAAAACATTGACGTTTTAACGCGACTAGGACACGATTAGGTAGCTGACATGTGTAGAAGTTTTAGAAATGCATGTGTAGAGTTCTTTATTAGAAGTCCGGCTTCTCTTGGTGGTCCTGGCATTATATACCAAATTGATGAAAGCTTGTATTTTCACAAGCAAAAATATCATAGGGGACGAACGTCAGAACATCAAGTCTAGGTTTTTGGGATAGTTAATGCAAATTATGTACCTGTAAGAGGATACATAGAGATTGTAGCCCAAAGAGACAAAGCCTCCCTTCTGTATACTATTCGAGGAATGTGTTTGCCTGGTACGATTATTTATTCAGATCAATGGGCTGCAAATAGGTATATTAAGGCTTAGGTTTTCAATACTATACAGTAAACCATTCTTTAAATTTTGTTAATCCTGATAATGGTGTCCATACGCAACATATTGAATCGTATTGGAATAAGAATAAAATTTATATTAAAAAAATGAAAGGCGCTAAAAAGGAAGATTTTTAAATTCATATCTTGCTGAATATATGTGGCGTGAAAGATTTAGAAATAACGAGTTTTATAAAATATTAGAATGTTTGACTGAAGTGAACAAAAATGATTAAATTTCTTTATTATTTTTTTTATTTCTTTCTGGGGGGAAGTAACCTAAGTATCAACTTCCAGCGGGAAATAACCGCACTGATCCGTCCCTGGGGGTATGTTCACATGTTTTAAAGAAACTCTATTGGGCCCTTGTTAAATATTTCGGTTATGAAAAATGTTGTTTTATAAAATTTACAAGCTTGCGCTATCCCGTTTAAAACGGGTTCATAAATTTAATGTATGCTTATTATTTTTAATGGATTTGATGTGCCTTTATGTATGTACTTATTTTATTGTTTTTACATACAAATTGGTCCTTTTTATTATAAATAAAAATTTGCTATAGACACCTTGTATAAGGTTATCTTAACTAAATAAAAGCAAGGAAAAATGCACAAAAACATCGTTCCGTGCTTAGAGAAATGAGCCCTTAAATGAAATTACTCGTTCTTAACAAAAAATACAAAGAATTTTACAAATTTTAAAAAAAAGGTTAAAAAATAAATAAATGTTAAGATTCAAACTTTTTATATATATAGAAGATTTAATTTTTTTAAAAAGTTATATTTATTTAAAAACGAAACGGACCAGGAATTTTTTTTTTTGTGCTTTGAATATTTTTACTTTAAGGTTTTTAAATCTTAAACAATTTTCTCATAACACCGTGGCATCATTTTAAACTTATTTTGGCATTTTATATTATATTAAAAAACAAAAAAATAAATTATTCTTATAATATTTTTACCCAATTTTTATATACATTAATAATTAAACTTGTTATGATAAGCACATATTAAGAAAGGATTAATAATATTCTCTTATGATTTAAAATAAATACCTTTATTTTCTCATTGCTGCATATTAAAGCATTTAGCTATAAATAGCACTTATTTTAATTAAAAATTTATGTATGAATTGAAATTTAGCAATAAAATTATTTTAACTATTAAAAAAGGATATTATTAACGCTCTGGTGATAATATTTGCATACTAATGCTATAAGGGATAAAGAAATGGTATCTTTAAGAATAGACGTCAAGAAATTGATAAAGAATTTAATATTAATTAAAACTAGCAACGTTTAATTATATATATCCTTAGAAGTCTAAAATATTTTAGAGTTCAAAACAATATAATTTTATTTTTTTATTGTCTAGCGTTTGTATCACAATAATAAGAAAAGCCAAAAGTACATTATTTATATGACCTTCTTCTAAACTAAATTAAATAATTCTTAGTTATTCGTGTGTAGTGACATAAGATTTTAAATTGCAAATAAAATAATATTATTGATAATTTTAATGCGTCATTTTTCTTAAATTAAATGTTTTATAAAAAATTTTTATCACACTTTAAAATCCATATATTTGAGCTAATAACTTAATTTAGTAGGCATGCAACAATAAAAAAAATATTATTATTAAAAGTACAACTGATCGTACATTGAATCGGGGTTAAAAAAGATTAGTATGGTCTTCTGGCGACTTTTACCTACCTTGAATTTTTAGAAAAAAGTTAAAAAAATTATTGATTTAATTCAAAAAAACCATTACAATTTATACAAACCGCCGAGCAAACTCTTCAGGTTTTGTATTTATTAAAAATCTACGCTTAAGGTATACTGAGCAATCCAATTATCTATAAAATTTCTTTGCACACCATTTTCTTTCCTCATTGTACTCTTTAGATGAGACCAAAATCCTTCAATGTAGTTTGTTTGTGTTATCAATTAAACGAAATCCCTCTGAATGATTCACTACATGGTGATTTTAATTTAAATTACGAGCAACTACAGGGTAGAAGACAAAACCATCAGTATGAAGTACACTATTTGGTAAAATTACATTCCTTAAAACATCTATTAAAGTCAATATTATTCTATTTTCAACTTTTTCGACTGTCCAAACAGTAATCTTAATAATTCAGATGCAATGGTTGGATTTTAATAGTACCACGCCTTGACAGAACGCTTTCACCAACTTCTACAATTATATTTTTTCCTCCTAGTAATACAGGCCTTTCATACAAATATTTTTTGTAATAATCTAACAGAAGTTTTTTATATCTGCTATTGCTGTGTCAGCAATAAATAAAGTCTGATAAATTTGATTATAATTTAAACCCAAGAGTAAAAAATAAATTAGGTTAATTACCTTGGTTAAAGTATCACTGAATGAAAAAGTGAATGTCTCCTCTGTCTCTCTTTTTTGCTACATCAGTAAATTACAAAATTTTGTTCGCCTACAACTGGTTTCATTGAACATCTGCTGTTACAACGTAAACATAAAATATTTTCAGAGATAATATTGTTTTCGATCAACCATTACAATAGTATATTTACATCTAAAAAGTACTATAGTGCATATTGATCTTCCTTATTTAAGGGTTAAAATAAACAGCCAATACTAAGAAAAAAAATAAATATCAAAAAAAAAGCTATTTTTTATTTTGCAATTTTCTCTCGATTTATATGCTTATATCGGCAAGTTTGCTTAACTAGCGAGTTTTGCCTACCTTTTAAAAAAACACTTTTTGTATAAGAATTTATCTTTATTTAGAGTAGAAATCTTAAAATAATTATTTTTTAACACCTAATTTTTAAAAAAACTTTAGGTAGCCAAAATTCGCTAGTTGTCCCCAAGAACAAACATTTTAAATTAAAAAAAAATTTATAGTAAAAAATTCAAGAAAAGATTGGTAAATTGAATGATTAAAAGTATAGTTGTCACAATGACAAAGATTTAACCAATAATCTGGTTTAAAGTAAAACCATCGAATATAAAACTGAATTCTAAAACACAAAAGTTTCAGAGTGAGAATAAAAGTATTTAATAAGGTTTAATAAATAATATTAAATAAGAAATTTAACTCTTCTGTAAGTAAACCCAACAATTAACAATTACCTTTAGGGAATAAAGGGATAAACAATTATATATTGAAATCAAATAAATTATATTGTTCATAACCATAACAGTCAATTATTTAACAAAAACTACGGCACCTAGCTTTTCCGAGCAGTTTCCCATCTCAGTACTAACAAGGCTCTTACTGGCTTAACTTCGGAGAGCTGACGAGTTCCGGTGTTTTACAGTAGATATGGCC